ACTCGTAGCAGCACAGAAGTCAGAAAGTTATTTTCGTATTTCGAGTCTTTCGATCTCGGTAAAAAGAACATTTTTTTAACCATAATGTCCGTGCGAAATTTTGAAATATTTTAATAATATTCGTATATATTCGTTAATAGGCGTATCTAACTATTTTGGATATTTAAAACATTCCAACGGCATTAAGGTGCTCGTTAAATATCCGAGATATTTCAGAAAAGATTCCTGCATTCGGAATTAAGGCGCTACGACGTACTATCAACCTATCTGTCTTGCTCGTTCGATCGGAAACCGGAGGGGAATTTTTATGCACCAAAAAACCCAAGCATTATACGAAAATAATAAAACAAAGAGAAAGAGGCGCACTGTGTCGTATTACAATATTTTTCAGCAACAAATTTCGATAAACCATAGGTGTACCTCATGATCGAGCGGAGAGAGCGTACGATGAAGAGTTTTCAAGTTATAAGTTGACCATCATCGATTTGCCTTGTAATAACACGGCTTTGTCCGGACCTCGCGGCCCTATATTAAGCATTCCAGAGCAACGATGCAATAATGCGGGACTATCGGTGCATAGAAACGAAAAGCGGGCGAGGCACGGCGAATTTAAAATATTTCGCGGAGGATATTGCTCCGATATCACGGTTATGCACCCATACAGGCACGCTCTGGCCGGGTATAAGGTAATTTCAGAAGATTTTGGTATTCCTTGCCGACCACTCGTTAAACCCCCTTTGACCTTTCACGAGAACCGAATATCGTACTTGCGAGGAGATTATTGCATTCCTTTTATCAACAGAAATAAAATTAACTGTAATAAACTGTCTGAAGGGAAATAGTTCGCGGCAAGTGGAATGAATTTATTTCTCTGGGGCAGGGAGCAAATTTCCTCCTTTCCTTCGAGAGAAGGACAAAACTCGCGAGATATACACAGATTTTGCAACAATACACGTTCGTAACAATGACGATATTTATCAAAGTAACATAACACGTTTTTACTCTCCTGCAAGGTAGTAAAAAAAAGAAAAAAAGAAAGATCGAGATTGTCAGAAATATCTTTACATTTACACTAATTATATTAATTGTATATATACGTTATATCATTGGACACGAGATACTGGAATGCATAGTTGTGCGCGAAATTTCACGAACTCGTTGACCACTCGTTTAATTCACATGCTGTTGTAAATTAAAAAAAAAATTTCTCGTCCTCGATATTAGCTGCTTAACCCCTTGACATACAATGACATCTGGGTTTCCTAGGCTAAAGTCGACGTGACAATGAGACGTTCTCTGAGACGTTCGCAGGTTAATACGTGTATAAGGATATAAAAAAATATTTTTCTACACGCTTACATCCTATAATCTTCAGGACACTTCAACAAAGCGATTGGTAAATCTTTTGGTCTGAATGTCGCAGAAAGAATTCGTATGTCAAGGGGTTAATCGATCAGTGAAACGCACAATTCTCAACTGGAAACGCGCGTTGCTCGCTTGTTGCAGACATGAAACCATCGGACAGGAGCGAGAAGGCGATGCTGACTGGGAACGCGCAGCCTTCGGACGTGTTCTGTTCGGTTCCAGGACGATTATCGTTACTAAGCAGCACCAGCAAGTACAAAGTTACGGTAGCCGAGGTACAAAGACGACTATCGCCACCGGAATGCTTAAACGCGAGCCTCCTCGGCGGGGTCTTACGGAGGTAAGATATTGCCATGAAACTCGCTCCGATGTCTCTGCCCGTTTGCCAAGCGCCTCGTTTGCATAATACAATTTTATAAGGGGATTAGCCCCGTCTGCAGTCAGACAGTGACGCGACGTTGCACTACGAGCGACGAAACATCGTAAAATCTCTGGCTCCCTCTCGCTCGACGTCACTGCGACTCTCCGTTTTATTTTCTACGACCGTTTCAAAGGCTGTTCGAACGTTATTTTAGTTTCGTTTTTACAGTGCAGGGAGTTTGATATTAGCGTCTTACCGCCGAAGAATCGAAATTGGAAATTATAATTTGCTTTCAAGAACTGTTATTGGAAATTACAATTTACCTGGATTTGCAAGTGTATTATAATATATCGAGTTGACGGATAGCAATCGGAATTTTTCAAAGTGAAATTTTCACTCGGAATTAATTCGAGGACACGTGTCGAAATTCATACCGCTCTTATTCCCTCTCAACATCGATTTGTCTTTCGTTAAGAATCATCAAGGATCGGAGAATATAATGTTATAAATAATTCGGATTTCTTTCAATTTTATGAAATTATAGACTAACGATTAGGCAAGAGAGTAGAACTCGATGATGTAAATTAATTGAAACGTTAATTCTTGGTGGGTCAGAATTATTATTTCAGATTTCTTTTTCCAATCTTCGCGCCTTCAGCGCCTTCAAAAACTAAGCCTGAAGAAACTGCGACAATGACGAAGAAAAATCAGTTCCTCTTAGGTGCACTTGCACTTACACTCGAAAATAATATCGACAACTATATCAATGTAGCGAGTATCTTAAAGATATTACTTAGTATCGATCAATATTTTTCTCGAAAAGCAACGATACAACACGCGAGATAGCGCACATTTCCGGACATTTGTCGTTCGCTGTGGAAACATCAGAAAAGGATCACAGCATCGGAAGGGAACAATAGGCTGGGCCAGCGAATCAGTATACCGATCCGTTTAACCGTTAAACGAGACTTTATCTATCCGGTTAATTAATAAACGTGCGCGTTCGCTTCATTCGGCCACCTCTTGCTCGAGCACGGACAGCAGTCTGATTTATGGGTTTCTCTCTTGGAAGCGGGAAGAGCCGTTCTTTATCTGATTCGCCATTTTACTCCGGCCAGAACATTATCCGTTGCGCAATGCTTTATCACCAAAGGCGTGGATAAATCACCGGTATCCACCGGCCGGATGTATCTCACGCACGTGAAATACGCGTACGTGTACGTGAACACTCGGTGCGGATTCGTTCGCGGATCGCCGTATCCACGTGAACGAATAAAAGAAAAAAAAAAA